TATATTTGCTATAAAAGGAGATGACTTTGCCTGTTGCCTGACATTTGGGGTGGGGTGGGGGATGGTGGGGAGGAGGAAGGTAAAATGGCAAGAGGAAAGCAGCATCTGACCTGATCTTTGTCAGTGTCCCCCAAAACCCATAGAGTCCATCATTTCTAAAGGAAGAGAAAAGGCCTTCCCACTCCTGAGCCCATGTGGCTCCCTGCATTTGAAGATGGAGGCAGCAGGAAGGGCTGAGAACTGCTATATAGGTCAAATCAGAGGAGCCCTGTGAGCTCTCAGGAGAAATGTGGCTGCTTTACTCCCTCCACTGTTTTCACAAACTTCTGTTCCCCCTTCCCTGTGGCTGTGGGAGGCGGCCACTTCACCTGCCTTCTTGCCTCCAGCCTTCTTCCCCAATGCCCAAGGGCTCCTGCCTTGTGGGTCCCTTTGGCCCTCATTCCAGTCTCCCTCCTCAGCCTGCCTCTGGCCCCAGGCTGTCAGCTCCTTATCCTGTGCCTTCTGAGGTGGCAGAATTCCCTTCCTTCATTTATATTGTCACCTTGCAGGTATTTATAGATTGCAGTATGGTCCCCTCCCCCTTCCCCTTCCCCCCCTGGAATCTTTTCTTTTTAAAAATGTTATATGCCCCAGTCTTTTCTCTTAGAATGCAGGGACTTGAATTGAGAGATGAGATGGAGACAGAGACCAAGAAAATGATACTGCTTATAGTCTGTCTTTTCTTACTGGTGCTGGGAAGAGGTCAGTCAAGGGGAGACTGTTTTCTGGTTTTTATTATTATTTTGATTTTTAGCATTTCTTTCTAATAGTCCTCAGGACTCCCCTGGCCTCATTCCTCTTTGGATAGATTAAGCTTCAAGAGGAAAATATGCCAAGGTCCCCTTACCCTGGGTCTTTTTAGAACTTATAATTATAGCTCTGTGTGTTTAGGGATAACAAAAATAATAGGATCCAGAGCTAGAAGAGAATTTAGAGACTATTCTAACCCTTTCATTTTACAGATGTACAAACTGAGACTGATGGAGGTGAAGTGATTTGCTCCAGTTCATACAGGTAGTAAATTTCATAACCAGCATTGGAACTCAGGTTTTCTGACTACAAATCCATGGGAAGTGAGCAAAGGTAACAGACTAAGTTAGAGATAGAGTCAGGACAGATAATCCAGGTCTCCCGATACACTAGATCAATGCTTTTCATGGTGTGCTGTAAAGAATACTGGATTTGAAGTCAGGCAGACCTGGGTTCCAATCCTGAATCTGTGAATTTTTGCCTCTGAGCTTTCAAAATTATGTTTAGGAGGGGAATTCAAAAGCAAGCAATAGATAGAGGAGACCACAATAGGCCAAATGGAGAGTTTTGCAAAATTTAAAAACTTTTCACAAGCAAAATTATTTCAAATAGAATAAGAACACTATTGAGAGAGACTTCCGACAAAAGTCTGATATTCAAGATACATAGGGATTTGTTACAAATATGTAAGACTGAGCAATCATTCTCTAATGGAAATGTGGGCAAGGGATATGATCATATAGTTTTAAAAAAGAAATGCAAACTGTCAACAATCATATGAAAAATTCACTGCCACTAATAATAAGGGAAATAAAGAAATTAAAACAAGCTTAGTGTTTCCCTTGTACCAGCACACTGGCAAAAATGATGCAAGAGAGAAATAGTCAATGTTGGAGAGGCTGAGCTGGAAGGCACACTAATACACTGTTGGTAGAGCTGTGAGTTGGTCCAATTATTCTAAAAGAAACCATTGCAAATAACTGGAGAAAATCACAAAACCACTCACATGATCCAAAAATCCCACTCTGGGGCGCATAACTTATCGAAGTCAATGAGAGAAAGGTCCCATATATGCCAAAATATCAGTAGCAGCACTTTTCATGATAACATAACATGAAAACAAATCAGATGTACATAAATTGTGGAAAGGCTGAAAAAATTGTGATTTATAAATGCAATGAAAGATAAATATCTTGAGAAATGGTAAAAGAAGGAATTCAGAAAAATGGAAGATGCAGTAACTGATGCAAATAAAAGAAAGCAAAATCAGGAGAATAATATGTACATACACAATGATTAGAAGAATGTAAATGAAAACAATGATCCAAGGCAGTGAACTCACATTAAATACAATGACCATTCACATAGAAGAGATAATGATATACACTTTCCTCCTCTTAATAGGTTAGAGGGTTAGGAGTCTAGACTGTTTCATACATTGTCAGAGGTACTTTGTTAGTTTTACTTAACTATTTTTCTTTGTTACAAGGAAGGGTTCTGAGAGGTGTTTCTGTTAGGAGATGAATTTGCAAATGTATATAGATGATAAAAGGCATCAGGCAAAGCTTTTCAAATAATTGCTACCTATGTGACCTTGAGCAAATCATTTCCCTTTCTGGGTCTCAATCTCCTTATCTGTAAAATGAGGGTTGAATGCGTTGAATGGGAAGTGTTGAATAAGATGACTTTTAAGGTCCTTTCTAACTGTAAATCTCATAATCCTCACTAACTCTTCCCCCATCATAGATCTCAGCCTTTTTGCTCACAGTGTGCTCGACACTTTTTGACAAAGGTAAGAGTCTTGGGGCGTGGTAGGACTCAGGTCTGATGTAATGGATGAATATATAGATAAGCAAAGTGCCCTGTAATGCCTGGAGAACTACAAGCTCTAAGTGAGAGGCATCCTCAGAAATGAGCAATGAAGTCAGAAAGCTGTGAAAGAGATAGTAATGAAAGTCATTCTGGATTGGCTGAAATTAGCCACAAAGGAGACACCCTCCCTTGGAGACAACTTGTAAATGTGATGATAAGATAGGGACATTTTCTAAATCTGAAAGAACCTCTTTGTAAGAGAAACAGCTATTTTCAATGGAAGATAATACCATAATGTTGGAAAGAGTAGAAAATTAATTATGAAGAAATGTAAAGACCGAGAGAGAGCTGTGGTGACTGGGAAAGAAGATTTAAAGAGGAGAGTTGGAAGAGTCGGCATCTGTTGGTCAGTCAGTCAACAAACATTTGTTAAGTACCGTGTGCCAGGTATTATGCTAAGTTCCTGGGATACAAAGAAAGGTAAACATCACTATTCTTAAGGAGCTCAGTCTAATGGAAGAGACAACATGCAAATAACTATGAATTAACAAGCGATATACAGGGTAAGTTGGAAATAATCACAGAGAAAGGGTACTAGAATTAAGGAGGATCAGGCAAGACTTCTCACAGAAGGTGTGATTTCAGCTGGGACTTGAAACCAGGAAAGCCAAGAGGCAAAGATGAGGAAAGAAAGCTTTTCAGGTATGGGGAACAGCCAGTGAAAATATCTAGAGATGGAAGATTGTCTTGTTTGAGAACAGTAAGAAACCCAGTGTCACTGGATCACAGTATGGGGGAGGAGGGAAGTTGAACCGTCAAATGTCCAAGGGAGAGAGTGACCTGACTGACTAACAAGAGTAGGGTGGTCCATTTATCCACTCTTTTTGTACTTTTTAAACTTTGTATTAATATCCTTTGATTATTCTCTCCTGTAGATTCAAAGGCACAAAATATCAGAGCCAGAAGGGACCTTAGAGACCAAGTAATCTCTGTTTCATACGGCAGACGAGGAAACTTGAGATCTGAGAAGGAAGTTGGTAAGGTCACCTAGACTGAGGGAGAGGAAGAGCTAAATCTAGAAGTCATTCATTCATTCATTAGCATCTCATGTGGATGAGAGAAGGCAGTGGATGGAGGAAGTTATCTAAGGCTGAGGATGGGAAAGGCAAGATGCAGTGAGGAGGCAAGGGACTCAGGAGGACAGGGTAGGGTTGAATTGGTTCCTCAAGGGGTCAAGATGGGGAAAAGAAGAGAGTGTAGCTAGCACAGGATTGACAGTTTGGGAAAGAACTGAGGGGTGGAGGGATTGGAGGTCATGGTGAGGATGAAGAGCAAGGGTTGGGGTTGCAATGCAGAAGGAGAGGTGGAGTAACAGTAGACTATCATCAGATAAGGAAATTTCATAGTTCATGAACATGGAAGTGGTGCATTTATAGGTGAATATTATTACAAGAAAGGATCAATATAAGAAATTTGGAGAAATGTGGGAATTTTCATAAATCGATTGCAGAGTGAAGTAAGCAGAATCAGAAAAACAATATGCACAATGACTGGAGTAATTTAAAAGAAAGAACAATCAATTGAAGCTCAGGATTGTATACTTCTAATGATCAGTGTCGGCTCTGGAGATAAAGAAGTGCTCTTCCCCCCTGTCTTTAAAGATGGAGAAGACTATGGGTATACAATGCTGCATATGCTATTAGACTTGGTCACTGCATTTTTGATTGATAGTTTTTGTTTGTTGCAAGAGAAGGCTCACTGAATGGCTGGTGAAGGGCCACGGTGGTTAGGGCATATAACCAGAAAAAAAAAAAAAAACTAGTATAAGAGCAAAAGGTATCAATAAAAGTTTTAAAAATGAAATGAATGGTTTTGATTGATTGATTCTTATTCTGATCTATAGTACTTATTTCATAGGGTAGCTGTGAAACTTAACTGAAATAATACAGATACAAAACATTCTGCAAGTCTTAAAGTGCTATATAGATGTCAGCTATCATCATCATCATCATCATCTTCAAACACCTCGTGTCATTCAGCCCTGAATTTCTATGATTTTGTGAAAACATTGTTTCTCTAACATCTCAAGAGGAAATGAGTTTTATTACCTTTTCCTCAGATCCTAAAGGGAAAGGAGAAGAGCACAGTAGGAAGGAGATATTGCTGAAGACAACTTGGCCAGCTTCACCACTTGACCAAGTCTTTTGATCAAGAATGTTCCCTGCTTTTTCCCATTGGCTATTAAGAGAATATATAAATTAATCCCTTGCTTCTCTATAGGAAGGCAATCCATGAGTCTCTAGAGGCATGATTCAGGGATGCTGCTGACATCCTTTCAGAAACAGGAAAAGCTCCCTTTCCAGTTTGGGGGAAAAGACAAGAACATTATTCCCACTTACCTCTGATTAACTTCTTGTTTGCATCCTTCAAAGTGGCAAAAGAGGTGAGGTAAGGATCTTGGATTCCTATAGACTCCTCTGGAGATTTTTTCCCTTGTTTCAGGGAATTCCTCAGGAATAACTTAGTACAAGAGAAAATGGAATCATAATTATGGTCTGGGGGGAAAGAGGCCCCAGAACTCTCATATCTTGCCCCTGTTCAAGAGTAAATCTAAGCAGGATGACTACAAAGCTACGATCTTAGAAAGTTGAGTTCACAGGGGTTTCAGGAGATACCAAAGGGGTTCAGAATAAGAGATGTCTCCACTGGGGCCAGGAAGGTAGGACACTTTTTAGTCTTTTCCATTTTTATAACCTAGGGAGCTTAGTCCCTTCTCTCTCTTAGAAGCAATTATTTGTGACTCCTTTCACAGCCTGGATCTTATCTGAGCCATACAATAAACATACAAGATGTGCATGGCAGGAGTGATCATCCTCATTTTAGGTCTTTACCTTCCCTTGTGAAATTTGCCCATGGAAGAAGAGTCAACTGAGAGTACTATCCATCCAGTCTCCCCAGGTAAGAGTCAGGGGAAGGGGTAGTTGAATGTGGATTAATGAGAAGAACATGGGCTGAGAGACAGGAGATATTGGTTTGAATAACTATTCTGCTGTAATTAGCTGAATAACTTTTAATGAATCATTCTTCCTTTCTAGGCCGTAATACTCATTTGCCAGATGGAGTTTATAACAAGCTACCTTACAAGAGGTGCCATGAAATAGAGACAATAAGTGAGGAAGTGCTTTGAGAAATGGACCTCGTATGGTGAACTGGTGTGAGATGGCATCATTAAAAATGAAATTCTATCTGCCCATGGTTCTCTTGGGGAAGAGGATGGGAGGAGCTGGGGGATGAGAAGGGCGGATGGACAGGGATAGTTGTGATTTAAGAAGGAAAAGGGCAAAAGAAATGGACAGATGGATGGATGGAGTGAAATAGACACTTCTAAATACACACTGTTACAGATCAAGTAGCTTGAGGTAGCCACCAAGAGCTGTTGAACAGTCAGGTTGAGCTATTTGGTCTGCTCACTGAGGCAGGCACCAAGAAGTCAGAGCTGCATGCCTGACCATGTCTTTCTTTTGGTTTGCTCTCCCTGGGTAGTACCTAAGACTTCAGAGGTAGAAGGAACTGATTTACCGGGACATGGGGAAAGTTGCTCAGTTGGTACTCTCTTGTGGGTTTCAGTAATAGTTTTCTAAGCTTTTTTTCTTCTTGAAGTATCTGGTATTCTTCAAGTTTCTTCGGTGTTTCCTGTGACTTTTTGGTCTTAGTCAACTAGGAGAAAGAGGGAACATGGAAGAGATGAGCCATAGGGCTTAGAAGCATTCAGCTCAAATAGATGGACCAATTCAATCCAATTCAATAAGCGCTTTATTGGGGCAGCTAGGTGGTGCAGTGGATAGAGCTCCAGCCTTGGAGTCAGAAGAACCTGAGTTCAAATCCAGACACTTGACACTTACTAGCTGTGTGACTCTGGGCAAATCACTTAACTCCATTGCCTAGCCCCAAACCAAACCAAAACAAAACAAAAAAAGCCAATAAGCACTTTATTAAGTGTTTATTGTATGCAAGGCAGTGGGAGTACAAAGAGAAAAGTCATACATCCCCTGCTCTCAAGGAATTTGCGGTCTCCTGGGGTTGATGCGACATACAAGTGGATTGGTACTGCTATGGTGTGATGGAAAGAGTACTGATTTAGAATTATTGCACCTGGCTTTGAATCCCAGTTCTGCTATCTTTGTCACCTTGTAACTTCTCTGATCCTCAGTATCCCCATCTGTCAAATGAAGGGGTTGGGCTAAGTGACCTTTGAGATCCCTTATAGTTCTATGTCTATGAACCTAAATATTAATTAATTAATTTTGGTAGCAGACTTGTGATTTCATTAGTATAAGGAACTCAGTGAGGAAACTCCTACCAGTATGTGGTTATTCAAGGACAATAGGTCTTGGGTTTAAATCCATCCCCACTCATACCCTGTGTGAGTCAGATTATGTTCTAAGTGAAAGGAGAAATAATAGGGGTCCCACTCTCATAACTCTTAGAATGTAAACCCTCCAAGAGGCTTCTCCTCTACCAGTCCCATTTGCATACTTGGTAGTTCTCTTTTGTGGGGGCAACAGCCAAGGACTTCCCTTGCTTCTGTTCCAGCTTTTCCATGTTGTATGTCATATCTGGCTGCTTTTTTTCCTTGGCCCCCTTCCCTCCTGTCTTCTGCTTCGTAGCATCCCATTTCATTGATTTTAGATCTGACATCTTAGTGTCCTCTGTTGGTTTTACATGATAGAGGGATTTTCTTTTTCCTTTTGCTGATGAGGATGAAGTGCTAGGTTGTTCTGTAGTATCTGGGATGTGAGGTGAGAAGGAAGACCATGGTGCTAAGTTTGACATTTTGGTGAAGCATCCTCTGATCCCTGTTGCCTACTGTGTGGGGCCCTCATGGCCAATAGAGACACTAACATGAGAGGGAATTATGAAGTCACTTGTGGGACAGCTCCCTGGGTAGAAAAGAAATTGACATTGACCTCAAACTCCCCAGTATTTATCCTATGGGAAAGGAGATACCTGGTGCTGGTGGTGAAGGTTAGTGCTGTATTTTAATCAACCCATTCTCTGAGGGACATTCTCTTCCCCAAGCTCTGTGTTATCTGTAAGAATAGTGATGGGTAAGTAGATGCAATATGATGGGATGTGAAAAATATCTCCAGAAAAAAAAATTAGCAGTTGTGTCTCTAGGATTCTCTTCTTCCAATTCCAAAATGATTAGTTATACTTGGTATAGGTACACAATGGTTTGCATATAAAAGATGTATGGATCGAAAGCTCATTATGAATCAGTGGTATAGTAACAGCACAAATGAAAAAAGGTTAATGCAAAGTTAGACTCCGTTAAGGGAAGCAGAGTGTTGTCTACACTAAGAGACTTGCTAATATCCTAATGTCCCCTGCAACAGTTGTGATCTCTGCTCAATAACCCTGGCTCCTATTGCTTGAAGATCTGTTCATATTTCACCCCTCCTCTAAGGGTTCTCCAGTATCCTTAAAGGAGGTTGGGGGGAGGGGGCTCCTCTAGTCTCTGTTATTAGCTCAAGCCCCCAACAGTTGTGTTCCTCAATTTTAGAAGTCCAAGCATCCCAGTTCCATTTAACCACTTAACAGTGGGATTAACTTTTAGAAAGGAATATTTACTTCAAAGCTATAGCAAGAACAATATACAAAATTCCTTCCCAACATCTGGCAGGGGGCATAATCCTCCTTCCATCATGATCTTGGTCTCTTGGATTGGGAGTGGGATTGGGTTGACAGTTTAGCTCAGTTTCTAGATAGAATCAGTCCCACCAAGTTCTGAGTTCAAAGCTTCCTTGTTTTCAGCACACTGGCTTCTCAGGGCTTCCCTGCTGGGCCACCAGTAATACTCTGCTTGGAATCCTGCCTCCAAGGTCCCCATGGCTCAAACTCCCAGGTGCAGGGACTCTACCCCCTGCACCTAGAACTGAAAACAAACCAAACAGACTAAAACCACAAGCTCATTTCTCAGGACCACTGAGCCTAGGGGAATGGGATAGGTGGTGGCCTTTTGCCCCACCCAACATGGGTGCCCATGCTGTGGGAGAACAAGATCTTTACTCCTGGATGCCACCAGAAAGATAGCTGGAAGGGACCTTAGAGGCCATCTAATGCAACTCCTTGCATTTTACAGATGAGCAAACTGAGGCCCAGAGAGGTGTGATTGCCCGAGGTCACATAGGGAATAAAATTCAGAGGTGCCTTCCAGGTCCCAGGTGTTCCTCTGACTCTAGGACCTTTGTTATTTCTTTGTATAGTATCACACATCATTCAATCAGATATTTTTTTTTTTTTATTATGTGCCAGATACTGTGCTGGGGCAGGCAGGTGGTGCAGTGGATAGAGCACTGACCTTGGAAGCAGGAAGACTCATCTTCATGAATTCAAATCCAGCCTCAGACACTCACTAGCTGTGTGACCCTGGGCAAGTCACTGAACCCTATTTGCCTAGGTTTCCTCATCTGTACAATGAGCTGGAGAAGAAAATAGCAAACCACTCCAGTATCTTTGTCAAGAAAATTCCAAATGGGGCCATGAAGAGTCAGATATGACTGAACAGTAATGAGATGTTGTGTTGTCCAGAGGTAAAACAAGCTGCTTTGGGAGGTAGGGGTCTCTATTTATCACTGGTGCTCTCAAGCAGAGGCCATATGACCATTAGCTGGGATGTGGTGGGAGGGGTTGATGCTCAGGTACAGGTTGGATTAGATGACCTCTAACCAGGCCCTGCCAACTCCGAGATCCTTTAAATCTTTCTCTCCTCTGCTACTCAGTTCTCTCTCTCCTCCTTGATCAACATCCAATATTCCATTAGCAGCGAATTCCTTCTTTGTTTGACATCGAAGGTTTTGTAGCCTTACTGCCAATAAAAACCAGCTTTTAAATCCTAAGGGTACCAACCCTTTTCCTCTGAATATCTTAAAACCAAATGTAAACAATCAGACCAGCTTTCAAACAAAGGCATACACTGGTTTCCTTAAGGCTATTAACACTTTGCACTGCATTAGTTTTTCAGACCACTTCTTGTAGAGGCATCTTGTTCAGTGGCAATAATGGAATGAAATGGATATGACCCAGTCCATTTCTGAGCAAGGAGAACAGAGCTTGGGAACGGCTCAGAGAAGAAAAACTCTGGCAGGAGGTTGTGTCGGTGGGGGCAGGTGAGGTGTCCGAGCATCCTGGAGACACTTGGACTCCAGGAGTCTGCTGGTCCTCAGATGGAAAATGGGGAGTAACAAAGACAAACTTGACCCCTTTCACAATTTTGCAGAGGGTCAGACCTGTTCTTCCTCTTCCTAATATCCATGGATCCTTCTTGCTCCCAGTTAAGTTCGTTTTTTCAATTGAAAATATTTATTAAGCTGCAACTATGTTCAAGACACTGCACTTGATATCGAGGTAGGGATAACAACAAGGGGAACAATCTTAAGGTAGATCCTCTAGGTACTTAATAGCTAGTATAGCCATGAGGCCCTAGCTGGTAGCTGATATTTTCTTTCACAATCATGAAATCTTTCGTTAGGCACTGTTAGATGGAAGAACCAAGGCCCACAGAGGTTTTGTGGCCTGGGCTCCAATGGAATCATTAACAATAATAATAATACTTTGATCCTTTGAAGATCCATGCTTTCATCCTTCCTGGTCTTCCAAAGATCAGTGTAGTGGAAAGAGTCATGGATTTACTATCTGAGGGCCTGGGTTCAAATCTTGGTTCCATTACTACCTGGGGGACCTTGGGCAAGACTTAATTTCCCTGGACCTCTGTTTGCTCTTCTGCAAAATGGTTGCATTAGATGATTTCCTTCTTTCTTTGTTTCTTTCTTTCCTTTTTCTCTTCCTTCCTTCCCTCCCTTCCTTTCTTTATTCCTTCCTTTCTTCCCTCCTCCCTTCTTTCCTTTTTTTCTTCTTTCCCTCCCTCCTCCCTCTTCTCTTTCTTTCTTTCACAATCAGGGTTAAGTAACTTGTTGAACTCAGTTTTCTTGACTCCAGGGCAGATTAGATGATTTCTAAGTTCACTTCTAGACTCTGAATTGTATGATTCCTCCATAGATGACTTCATGAGTTCATAGAATTAGAACTGGAAAGGACCTCAGAGAGCACCTACTCCAACCCCTTTATTTTACAAACTGAGGCCCAGAGAGCTTAAGACTCAAGGTCCCACAGGGAGATGAACAACAGAGCTCGGACATGGACCCTTATCATTTGATTCCAATGTCCTTTCCACTATGCAATTTGTGGATATAATGATAACAGTTAGCATTTCACTTTAAGGTTTTTAAGTGCTTTGCATACATGATCTCAGAGTAATGCTGAGGATACACAATGACCTCACAACCATGTTATGGAGCAGAGATTATTACCATTTTACAGATGAGAAAACTGAGACTCAGAAAGGTGAATTGTCATAAGCTCCCATAAGTGTCAGACTCTGAGTTTGAGCCCAGGTCTTCTGACTCTCAGACTAGTGCTCATTCCACTGTGCCACATATCTTCATAATGAGACCAAAGACTGCTCTTGGGCAATGCTGTACTCCTTCAAAGACGTTGACCTTGGTGTCATCAAGTGGTGGTACGTGGAGTGGCAAATTCAGGGGAGTGGGTAGGTACTCTCCACCTTTTGTTCTGTTCCTCATTCCGTGGAACAGAAAACTGATGCTAAGTTCACAGCTGCATTAAATTAAAACTAGAACTCTCTGCAACAGCAGGAAAGTCACCAACCTCCAAATAGTTCTCTAATGGGCCTGGCTAGAGAATGAAATGAAAAGTTGAGCTCCACCCTGCTAGGCTAAGGCTCAGATGAGCTAGCCTGGAATTCTCTTGCATTTAGGCTGTGACCTGGAATGGCCACACACTAAAGGTGCAGAATGAAGAAATTAGCTAAGGGCTCAAATGGTAGACCTGAAGTTAACATGTAAATAGAAAAGGTAGGGGGTAGCACAGCAGACACAATCTGAAAATCATAGGATTTAGAACAGGAGATGGCCTTAGCGATAGTCTACTGCTATCCTCTAATTTCCAGATGAGGAAAATGGCTTCAAGTGTCTTACCTAACGTCATTATAGGCAGTAAATAGCAAAAGCAGATTTGTAACTTATAGCTCCTGACTCCAGATTCAGGGATGTTGCCACCACCCTGAAGGTGCTAAAAATGGAGAATTCCACCATTTTGGTTTGAAGGTGCCTGGCTTTCCTGTGGTTAGGAACACAAAGAGCTGACCCTTTCATTTTGCCTTGATCCTGCTAATGATTCTTATTGTCACCCTCTGAAGAACCAGAGGCTAACCTTAATCTCAAGTGGAGGCAGGGGTGGTGTCTAATCCTCTGAGTCAACTAAGCATCTGCTAATTGCTTTTCAGAGAGCACAGTTCAGTTCCTTTAGTTGTCTAGTGGGTTCCATGGGTTGGTTGGCCCAGACAAGCACATAAGGGACCATAGAAGGCTAGCTTCACAAATAATACCCTGCTACCACTGGGACCCGTTGGTGGTCTATGGATCATCTGGGATGGGGCAGAGATTGGGTGTGTGTCTGTGTGTGAAGAGGCTCAGAATGGGGCATCCTACCCTAGGCTTGGAGTCAACAGTCCATTCAGCACTTCCTATGTGTCAGTCACTGTGCTCGGCATTAGGGATACAAAGAAAGGCAAAGATAATCCCTATCCTCAATTACATCCTAAAGGGGGAGCAGTTATATAAAAAGGTATAATTCAGATACATATAGAGTAAATGATAAGTAATCTTAGAGTGGAAAGCTCTAGCAGCCAGGAGGGCCAGTAGGTGGCTTTTGAGGCAAATCCTGAAGAAATTCTTCGAAATTTCTAAGGAATT